GGCAGTGTCATCACCACTGAAAGACTAAACTATTTTTGAGGCTGGCGATGGCTTTGATGTGAGAGCAGAAGAAAGAAGTAAAGGGTTATTTTGGCTTTTTGTCGAAAAACGTAGATCGGTACGTGAAAAAAAAACCCGCTTTTCCTGACACCATTCGAACATGTCAGGGATATTTAGTAATGATTAGGAGTGCGTCTTAGCTCGAAGAGAAAGTGGATCAGAAGCCCCTACTGATCTCGGCTATGAGCCAGACAGATGTATTCTATAAAAAACTAAATATGTTGTGTAGAGAAAAATTGTTTAAGATACTTGGTATTACGGTAAATTGGATTTAGGTTAGATTAGACTTAGGTGTGGTCTTGAGTGCTTACAAGTAAAGCCCAAGAAAAGCTTTGAGCAGACACAGGCAGGTCAGCCGATTATCAAAGCTATGTAATGCGTCATTTTACTTTTAACGCATTAATATTTGAAAATCACGTAAATAATGTGATACATTATTATTCATCGCGCTGATCTGAGGCGTCGTCCAGATACAAGCATCTGTAGAATCCACCCGTTGTCACCGTTTAAGTCAACATTTGAAAAGAATGGATATGCTCAAAGCCAAAACGATTCCATCGTGGTACTGCCGCTAAACAATGAATAATTAACAATTTAGTGAAAAAAACGGATAACAACTAATTCACAAATGAATGAAACTTTTCGTTCACATATTTTCAGCAGCGCAGGGTTTCGAATACAGGAAAATTGCTGTAGGCCAAGTCCTGCCATGCAGGAAAGGACGGTGTGCATTTTACTGTGTGTACAAGATGAAGTCAGCTGATAAACGCCACTATAATCGGGTAGCCGCTAGTAATCGAATTTTGTGAGGCCCATAATATTAGGAACATGTGATGATGTGATGATCTAGGTACAAATCCAAACATAAATGCACTTCGTCTCGTGCTGGGCCAATCGTCTGGTCGAATAGCTGACGGTTGTGTCGGGCATAAAACTAAAAGCTTCAAACGCTTCTGCTTTTACGTGTATTGATTCGCGGATGGCTGCTATCAAATGTTCATTAGTACTTCCGTTTCACACACACAGGAAGTTGGTACGCGGCGAAATAACGTAGATCTCATTCTTAGGACAATCCTCTACAATATTTCGAGGAGCGAGAAGCGTCTCAGCGGGCCAAGATGAACCAAATCTACTTTCAGAAATGGTAGCAGCTCACACAACGCCGTCAGGCGTCGATGTCGTGAGGGTGTCGACCATTACAATAAAAGTCATAACGAATCAAGGAACCCTTGAGCTCGCGTTGGCTTCGAAGCCATTTATGTGCGCCTCAATGACGCCGAAAGTGTACTTTATCTTATCGTAGCAGTAGTAGCGGTAATAGATAGAGGGCGGAAAGTGGCCTTTGGCATCAAACTAGGGTGTGCATGGTTTCTTTTAACCAGAAATCCTTACGAGCCCTTCCTGTTAGCATTTTCTAGTATGTAGCACACCATTAACATTGCCGACCTATGAACATCCCGCTCCTGTCCACCTTCGCTAACATAGAAGCATATTCATGTGTAGACATACATTTACACAAGCTAACGAACGATCATCCTCCTACCAACATTACTGTATATGTGGGTTGCTGAAATTGCAACATTTATCAAAAGATAACATTTTTGAGAGACGTTAAGGGAATCGTCCCTCCTGCCGCGTTTTCGTGAAGCGTAAGAATATTTTGTTCGAATCCGTACCCGCAGCAATCCGACCAAGTTCTGTCATTCTTATTCTGAAAGCAGCGCCTCTTTTTCTCCGACGTTACTATGCCACTCGGCCTCAATTCTGAGCTCATGCTTCATTTCATTCTCTCTATCAATTTTCTCTGTATGCCTCTAAAGAAAGCTAAATTCTTTTCTCCTCGGCTCATAGAGCAGCGTCGGTGGGCATCCGTACGGATTCGGCCCTGTCTTACCTACCATTATAGTCCATGCTCGGGGACGCTGGGTCGGCGGCTACCCGTGAACCGTCGTTCCACAATAGTGAATAGAAACGATAACAATATTGAAATGCCCCGCACCTCACATCTGCCTTTGCTTCCTTCTACCCGCAAACGTCCTTTTATTCCGGTGTACCCCCTGGAACACCTTTACGACCTGCGTCAACATGCAGAAACTCTTTTCTATAACGTCCTGTATGTATACCAACGCTATAGCATAGTTTATTTTTTTTAATTGGGTTTTTCTACCCAATTGGTCATTAATCTTGCCGTGGCCATCGCTGCTGCCGCTGCAAACGGGGCTCACAAATCTAGGTCTGATTCGATCCACGGTCTAGAGCAAATTTCAGGGGTTGATAAAATACGTTGTCGCTATTTCGCCAGTTGGTCACTGAGGCACTTAAGGTAGGCTTCTGAGTATCGCTTGAAGCTAATCTCAAGCCTTCAGTTGCTTGCGCCATATTACTGCCTCCATGGCCGTGCAGTTTATACTGCTGCGCAAACCCATTATATCGTTTTGATTTCAATTTCTTCTTTCACAACCGATAAATACGAGCACGTTTACTCGTTATGTCGTGATTTTGCGAAAGGCAGTCGGGCGTTAATGCTTGTGCTACCGGGCTACTTGTGATATACCGCGCCTTGTCGAGTTATATTTTCCTCTATGCAAGTAACTGCGTATGCGACAACAATAACGGCTTTCGCAACAAGCATATATTTAGTATACATATATGTTAATTACTATGAAGATTGCTATTACTATTTCAATGATAATTTCACGACTTGTAATAGCGTCCGAGCTGGCTAGCATGTTTGGCCATGCACATATAAACATGGACGTATAACAGGATAATGGTACACAAACTTTCAAGTAGAGGGACGTGTTTATGATCGAACGAAAAAACAGATCAGGTTTCGTTAATTGTAGTTGAACGATTATTGTAACAAAATGATGCCGTACTTTGTCACGGTTGGTCAACCAATGGGCAAAAGTGTATGTAATGAAAGATTGAGATTTAGTGGGTTTGTTTCTGTTCTAATGTAGTATTGGGCTCGATGTTTGTTTTTATAATTTGCTGTTTTCTTAGATTGTTGAATCTTTTCAATATATTATTAGCAACTAGGCACCTTGGCATTTAAATGAGTTCCATCTTAAAATAATAATAATCTCAATATTATTCATTTATCATGTGTATGAAGCAGTTGTTAATATAAATACTAACCATATGCGATCCTGATAGTTAAATATTGTGTTTATTATGTGTTTGTAGAAAATTGTACATCCACAATAAGACATTTAAATATACATAATGAAAGGAGTATAGTTAATATATAAAAATATTTACGATAATCATCTATTACTAAATCAAAAATGGGCTTGAAATTGCCAACGAAAACTGGAATATTCATACTAAATGTAAAAAAATATTAGTAAAAATTTCTATTCGTATTCTCAATCATACATTTAATACCGTTGTGATCTTTTGTTTGCATCAAGCTGATCCTTATATTATTCAGATACTGGGGTTAGAGCGACATTTCGTAAAACCGTAATTTCCAACCTTTGAACCCAATGAAGTATCATCTAGTTGTCTCGAGTACAATTTTCGGGCTTAACCACTTCCACACTAGCCAATATTTTCTTCAAATTGAAGTATTTAGGTATTGTATTGAAGTATAAACTGGGTGTCAACAAAGAAAATTTAGTAGCTAGCTTTTTCACGAAATATTCTTGCAAGCTTCCATATGACACCGGTGGCGCCCTTCATGAGCTAGTAACTTACCGTACGGTTTACACATCGGCAGTATTGCGAGAGAAAATCGATAGAGGGCGCTGTCAGCGGCCTAAAACGTTTTTGTTGGCAGCCATAGAGAGCGCCACATGTACCGTTTTTCGTGTGTCTCGTCTGATGTTTAAGCCGCTAGACACTACTTCAGAGGGCTGGCTCCCAGTAGAAAAAAATCTACCTATTATGAAATTCAAAGCTAGGCCACTACGTAGTTTCAAATTCAGCAGGCAAACACGTTACACACTGAGCTATCACGGGAATGCGCCCCGTATACCTTATGAAACTTGTTCCATATAATCGAGCGCGATAAACAATATCTATTTACAGATAAAGACATTATTTTAAGATTAGATAAATTTTCTATTATTAGATTGATTTCTATTAGATATTTTTTTAATATATACATATATATCAGAAATAATGATATGTATCACCCTTTTAGCATTCGTTCAAGGGACTGTCAAGGTCGGGAGTTCGAAACGAGCAATGTGAAAAGTCTGAGCAAAAGAAAAGAATCTGACTATATTCAACGTCTTATTTTCCTTTAGATTTTTATCCTTTATATTTTTTCCTTTTTTTTTTTCTTTTTATAGATTATTTATATTAGAAAGTGTATCCATGCTAAGACTAAAGCGTGGATCTCTTCTGCGCCCTTCCGCTTAATAGCCAAATACGTTATCACTGTATTCCCGAGGCGGCATTCTGTAATAATTTGCTCCGTAGTTTCCATACGCCACATATTTCAAGCTATAAATCGTTATCAGATTTATCAGGAGTAAATTGTAACTACGAAGATATCTAGCAGATCAACGCGTCATTGGCGGAAGAGGAGCTAAGGTAACTTGGTGCCTTCAATTGAAATTGGCTTATGTCCTTTTTAAATCTATAACTCTTCGGTGAGAGCCCTACAACGAAAAAGTGAGAAGAATAAAACAATGTTATTAAAACTATTAATTATATGAAAACGAACAGATCTGAGGAAATAAGGCCCACTATATAGAAAATAAGTCTATTATCCAAGCCTAACACGGCGATAGTAATCATGGTTGTATAGGGAATTGATTATTGGCCCCTCTATTGGGAAATTGGTTATCATCATCATAAAATCAAAAAACGTCCATGGAATATTTAACTAGTTAGCTAATATAAAAATGTTATTTCACATTTCTATTGCTTGACTGACAACATTGGATGAGGGATCTAACAGATGCATACTGACTTTGTGATTGCAGGTAGGATCAAGTGTCATCGGCTTATGTCTTCGTCTGTTAGCATTAACACGGCTGTGAGGGCTTAGCTTTGGCAATAAGCGGAGCAAGCACTTTGCTTTCGGATAGAAGGTGGTCATTTGTTAACGTGGGGGAACGGAATCACCATACCGGCACGCATTGTGAAGTGCCCTATCTGACATAAATATTTGTAGACATAATAATAGATAAATATAAACATAAGTAGTTTTTCAGCTACCGTATTTTAGTGTTAGTCAATGGAAAATACTCGGCTACCGCTAGAGCTACCTCGGCCTGTTCTCGAGGTACAATACTAACAAATGTTTCGGGCCTCACGTTCCGTATTTTAAACGGGAGTCTTAGTACAATCCTGGGACACCTTATCTTTATTTTGTATATGAATTCAATAATGCACGTGTTACATTTATTGGTATTCATGAATATATATATGTAGTGTAAAAACCTGCGCGAGCGTCAATAGGGGCTTGATGTCGCAGGATATTCGAGACTATGGGTTCAAAAATGTGCCGTTCTGCACTTTAGCCATGTAAATCCGAATCATATGTACTCCATCGGCGGCCTTAACCTAGAGATAATAAGAGCTATCCGCCACTTAAGGGCTTACTTAAAATATACAGCATATGCGTTGAATATTGCTCACCATGCAATATGTTTATTTATCCTAGAGGATATATATCAGATCATTTAGGATGCAAGTTACTCATTCATGTATGTTTGAAAAAATTCTAAAAGCATATTAATAGGCGTTCGAACGTATCAATAAGCAAGTCTAAAGATAGCAATGTTCGATACGAAGTAGCGTGCTTTTACCAAATTAATTAACATAAAAAGTTATACACTTAACAACACTTATAAAATAGTCTAGTTTTTTTGCCTATAAATATAAGTCGCTATAGTAACTTTGAGAAAAATATGTTATTCAGCGTAATTCTCACAGTTGTCGAATCTTGTTTACGCTACATCGCGGCAAAACGGACACAATGAAATGCCAAAAGTAGCTGCTTAAAATCTAAATTATTTTTACCTGTAGCTTCTAAAATATCTCTTCCCTTTTTTACGCTACTTGATATTGTACCAGTGTGGATCTAAGAAGGCTTATGATAGCCATATGGAAAAAGTTTTAAAATTTAATCCTTTGTTTCTTTCTCCGTGGGAATCCGATATTAAACACATAATCGAAATTCGGTTCTTATACAATTAAACATCTTCCTGTGACTCTTCAGGTCGGTCGCTAGAGGCTCTCGTTTCATTATCTAGGTATCGCTAATGTATCAAAATAGCTTGATGATTCTGAACCGGTGTCTGTTTCCTTTGGCAGTATCTTACTAAAGATACGATATAATTTAATAGGCAAAGTAAGAAAAAAGCGTGGAAAGGTCAAAACACTCGCTTTCCGTTAAGTAATACCCTCGACAGTGCGGCTTTAAGACACAGCTGTTCTTACCAGATAGATAAACAGTGCCTCCGCTGAAATCAAATTGCCTTTAAGGGCGAATAAAAAAATGATCAGCTACACAAATGTTATTTTCTAAGTCGATTTACTATAACGTATCATTTTTAATGTTACAACATTTCAATAGATTTAATTCACGGCAACTGGATGGGATGACTATATAATTTTTATCACAATGAACTTCTATATTTCCTGTATCTAATAAATGAATTTATCTATAAACCATCTTGAAAATCAACGAAATTACCCATTAAAAGCCTAAGTACAAAAAAAGATTCATTACTATTCCGGTTCCATGTGCAACAGCGTAGTTCAGATCCAGCAAAGTTTGATACGAGCGGATAAACGATTAGGAGGTATGGGTTATGGCCACCGTTACAAATCAACCATTACATCTTTCTCTTCCATTATTAATGGAAATGGTTAATAGAACCAAACATTTCATCTTATCTTTACTGCCTACAATGCAATCTACCAGTTACTACTTGAATATGCAAGGCTTATCTTGACCCATTTAGCTTTCAGCCACCATGTATCCTTCCCGTATAATCTTTGAGGACCGAATGTTAGTTTTATTCTTACTCAATCCAGGTTTCTGGCCATGATTCGAGTATCATTCAATAAGCAATAGAACACTTTGTTTCGTACTGATCTTACATGCACTTACGACAAAAAGCGCAGGGGCTTCTCTATATATGATTTGTCCTTACAAAGAGTTTCTCGTAGAGGTACGGCTTGACGTACACTTGACGTATACGTTTTTATTTCAGTTGAATGCGCAGTTTATGCCCAACTGCGTTGTCAACAGAGCGTTACAAATCCCTCTATCTCTTTTGAGAATAAGCTTCGACACACCTCGCCTTTCTCGAATCACTTATGCTTCTGGTAGAAAGAGAACGATTCTGCGTATGCCTGAATTTGAACGATACCCATAGACGGCCTTTTTTTCCGCAGGCACGTTTGCCGACCAGCGTGGGCGTCAAAGGGCGTTCCAAAACAACATGCACGAATCGTGAAAAGAGTATGTGGACTAAGCGCACACGAGATGCTATTCAACTCCAGTGTCCAGGGCCACTACGACAGACTGAATAAGCCATACTAGAATTTGTGACATTTTGTCATACAACTTAGTGAGAAATACTTTCGAATGGCATGCCTTCACTGGACCTCCGTACATAAAAACGGTGCTCAAATTGTTTTTCTAAGGCACTTAGTTAGTTATAGTGTAAATAAGCAAAAAAGTAAAGATTGTGAAAACAATAGTAATGCCATTGACGACAAGATAACCATACTAACTGAAAGACATATTGGTTCAAAACGTAAGCCTATGAAAAACGATATGATTATATAATAACGGTCACGAACTTCATGTGTTGGTAATGGAAAGTAGCAGTTTCAGAGTGTGTATTTTCTTTATAAACTGCATGCTCGTTTAGCATTTTATAAATTCGTTTAGCGCCTTTCACAGACCTTTTCTTCACTTTGTCCTTTTCTGGAAACATCTCTGCTTGTTGCGTTTTGTGTCAGCATTGCGTAATATTTGAGCAGCCCAATCAGTTTTGTTTTCGATTGAAATTTTCCGAATTGCCGGTTTGTGCTTCCGCGTTCTTGTAACCCCTTACGCTACTATAGCGCTCAACGATACCCCCTTATGTAGGCTTGGGTAAGAGTTCTCCGACCTCAACTATACAGGAACTTCGTTGGTGAGCAACACTGACACAGTATATGCTGACTTCGCAAAATATGATCCTATTTATATAGCCTCATGGCATGCGAATAACTTAGCTCTACTCTTACAGTAATCTTACAAAGAGCAGTTCTTGGTTCTTTTCTGTTTCAATAAACCATTACCAGGGGGAGCCTCTTATTCTAGGAGATGGACTGAGTGCCAGCAATATTTAAGTGTACCCTTTTTCATCTACCCTGTTCTGTACCTCGTTCTCAAATCTGTCAAAAACACCGTATGAGATAGAAGCTAGGTATTACGAATTTGATGAAGTTCAGCCTGAACTTCACGTGTTGTATTTGGGCGTATGTGGACGTGTGAATACAGTGGATAGCAATAAATGTCTTAGGGAGAACAAGTGACGACATCTAAGGCACCAATGTACTATGAGTGACTAAGAGAATTGGATGTCCTGTTAGCTTTACGGTGCCTATGGGCCACCATTCTTGTAGGTAAAGACAAAAGTGCCAGTAATAGCAGGACCTTTTCTGTTGGCTCTATGCGCCAAGATGAGAAGTAGCCCTAGAGCATAGTGGATTTCGAGCGTCCCGTCACATCATAGGAGGAAACAGTTGCGATAAAAAACGTGAACGACGGAAAAAGGAAAACCAGATTACATGTTAACGAGAATCTGGAGCAAGCAGTAGTATTCAGGACCTGCTACGCTGCATATGTTTATTAAACGGATCCATTACATCGGAAAGAACGCAATTTTTAATATCACTCTTTCATAGAAAGGTATTATCACCAAGTAAAACTGACATTGCAATATCTTATCGTTTATACTAATACAATACGCATCGGTTTTTTTCGAATACTGAGAAATAGTTTTCATGAAGAGTACGGTTTGTGTCGGACACGTCTCTCATAATGATAAAACGAATACTATTACGAGGTTTCGTGGTTTCACTTTCGCTTGTATTTCGCGCTTTCATGCACCATTGGACATTTTGAACTTACGTTGATCATTAAGAGTTAAACTTTTTCTTTTTTGCTTTTTTAGGTCAGAAAGAAGAAAGCAAGTAATCAACATAGGTAAACAAATAAAGCAGCTGTTAGTAGATATAATCGATTGCGTATCCTTTGGCGTGCATTATATGCAATGATGTCTCATCAAAGAGAGTGCGTTCAAAACAACGTATAATAGAAACGATAACGGCGATGATTGGACTCACAGGACCTAAGTAGCTGCGTCGATTGAAAGCAATTAGTGTGATTGACCTCGGATAGCAAACATCTCAGTGGACGACATTACGTATTGGAGTTGATCCAAGCTAGCTTCGCGCTCGCTGGCAATAGTTTGAAACAACGCTTAACGGCAACACCAAATATACAAGAAATAGCAAGTACCAGATAACAATATACGATCCCTGAAAAATACTGTCGTTTGTAACCTAAACAAACAAAAGAACATCGATAGATCGAACCATTACATAAGACACAAATAAAGGAATCATATGTTTCAGCAGTTAACACATGTAATGTTTTTTTCTATAGTTTTTGGCAGTAGCTAAGAGGATCGATAGCATACGCATCTAGGACAGGTCTATTCTTCAATGTTCCCTTTGAGTGACAATCAGTATAACGAGAAACTTAGTACTGGACATTTTGATTTAGAGAATTTATTCCACGCAATCCGTTAAACGAGCAAAGCATTAATTCAGTCGTTTAACCTAAGTTCTAGGCCGCCGATCGTGCTTCGGAAATGCACGAAATTCCCACGTCCTGCTTATTCGTCGTTGGTCATTCAGACCAATATTTTCACAATGTAAGCAAATATGTACTTGATATAATCGTGTAGTTCGCATGCCGAAACTAAATTATCACAGGACATAGCCCGGACCATTACCACCAAATGCGTTTCGGTACTTCGTGACTAGATAGTGTGACAATGTATTAAAATGGAGAGAAAGACTTCCGGCCAGTTTAAAACTTTACAACAGTATATAAAGTCAACTGGAGAAATGAGAAAGACTTTCTGAAATAGTTGTTTGAACTCCCTATAAAAGGGATCTTTAAAGTGTTGAAAAATCCTTGATAAGAGTGCCCTTCTCTGTATAGAGCGACCTTTCTTGCACTCTGTGTTATGTCGCAAATACTAAGGACAAGCCAGACACGCTCTCGCAGCACATTTCCACCGCTTTGAATACCATATGCAGTGAGACTGTCCGACAACAGTTGTGTTATGGAATTACCTTCTTTTACCCTTTCTATTCGCCCTTCATTTTCTGTCTTCCTTCCCTGGCAATTACTTTTCACTCTACAAGCACACTCCTTTTACTCTTCACGTTCAGCGTTAACCAGCGTCACGACAAAAGGCACAAGAATACTCCGAAATTCTGCTATTCAAGTCTGTATACATGCACACATTAATTAGAACATGTATGTTGTCATGTATCAGAGCTATGTTCCAAGTAAGCTCCCTCGTGATTTGTGCCAATTTGCCAACAAAAATAACGCCCACCTACAATGCAACATAACCGCTCCTGCAGACAACACCGAAGTTACCAGATAACTAAGCCTCATCAGCTTTGCTTTTGCTAATTTGGTTCGCCGCTTCTTCTGCGACCGGTTGCTTCGCGCCTTACTTAGTGACCCTACAGACCCCAGTCACCCCTCATAGCATCGGTGACCACCTTTGGGCGGGTCGCCCTTATTACGGTTATTAACCACTTGCCACGCTCTAGGTGAACTAGGATAGAGAAGCCTATTATGAAGGCATGATAATAAGAGTGCAGTTTTTAACAAAGATGATCTAAAGCGTTAGATATATAGTCGATTAGATTCCGAGGAGCATCACATATGGGCTTATCTGTCATGGACCTGAAAATCCCTTTCTTGCTTTTCTTCTGCATTTCCAGTGTTTCGTGGTATAATTTCATAACAATCGACAAATCACGCACTGTGTGTTCCGTTCTGCCTAAAAGCTCCAATGATCATAGTAAATTGCCCCTCTGGCTAATGTCGTGAGATGTACCTATTTCCTCCACACCCTGAATCTTCTAATTTCCGTTATTAAAATGATTACACCAGTTAGAAACTGTTTTTGCATTCAGGACCTCTTTGTCCAAAAATCTCATTATCGCCGATAAATGACGTTAGAACTCTCATTTCCGAAAACCATAACTTTGATCGGAATCATTAAGCGTTGGCCTTTGACAACTTTTTTTATGGTAACGTTTCTGTCATGACGCTCAATATTCTTCTTGTTATTACTATTATCGTAGACAAAATACTGTTGTATTTCGCACCATTGAACGCTATAGAATATGAAAGACAAAAACTGAGAGTACTTTGGGGGTAATCTCCACTTGCTAAACATGATCGATGCCCGTGAAACATGGTCAGTTTCAATGCTACAGTTCAGGCAAGTAGCCCTTTGTTTCTATATTCCCTTAATAATATTTCAACAAACATTTATTGGTGATCAGCGAAGTGTTACCTACTCCTTAACGACATAATTATTTCTCTTCAGTTTCAAGTACCTCAAAAAAGATTAAATTTGTTATCTACAAAACTAACATTAAGTAATTTGACTGCTTATAATTAATACGCAATTCTTTGAATGCGTTTTTATCATAACCACGAGAAGCGGCCATCGCTAACTTAAATTCCAGTGTGGGCTAGTAGTTACAATGGCATACCATTACCATGCCATCTTAAAGGTCTGCTAGAGAAACCCCAGCTACGACCCGCGAGGTCTATCCCGGCTAAACCTGAAACAAGGGCAAGTCTTTGAAGCAAAGGGGTGACTTTAGGGATTCGTTTACACAGAAGAAATAGCTGAAAGCATTAAGAAAATTACGTGCAAGTACTCCTAGCCGCTTGCAATCACAGTAGGACAATCAATTATTACACAATAGTAACAAATCTCTGTCGACCGACCTATTCCCTACTTTCCGTAATTTTAGCACATGCTGCCTTTATCAGTTCACGTATCGACTTGTAAAGTCGGAGACATCGTCCTTTCGGAAACTCAAACTTAGTCATAGTATTGTCATGCAATAACGAGACCAATTAGTTGTGTTTGTTCTATAATTAGCTATTTATCTGGCTGCGCACTAGCGAATAATTTTGTAGGCTGTTTAACACGGTCACCTTCCTTCATCGTGACTTGGCCTTCTGCTATCGTCATCAACATCGCTCAATTTAAATCGATTCGATCTTAACCATCCTAATTCTGTTCGTGTCTTTCATCGGCAAACTCTATCGTTGTAAGGAAATACTACGATTGCCGCTTAATCGGCGTTGATCCACTTACTCTGTTTATTTTCGTCTTCGGCCCCCTTCATCGAGTTCCTCGCCCAAAAACAGAAGATGGCTGAGAAAAAACCTACTTGTGAAAATGATTAAAACCTTACTTCATACGCCTGTCTAATCCTCTTTTCTCATGGAAGCGCCGATTCCTACGTAAGTTAGTGGCACTTACGTAAAGGCAAAATACACCAGTATGGTCGAAGCATCTTTGCTCAGGCAGCGCTAAGGTTCAGGTTGATAGGAAGTTAGCCTTCGCTGGTTCGATGCGACGGATCGGCTCGTTAACAGCCAGGAACAATAATTTACTACATATCGTTGGCAGAAGTAGCTGGCCAGCATTGAGTAAGCAGAAACCTATACAATAAGTGTTTTTCGTTTTAACTCTAAACAACACCCTAGTTCACTCCTCGCTGTTTCTTTCTAATACACGTTTCCTAACTGACATTTACCCTTCATTTTGCCTTTCTTTCAATTCGTTTTGCCAGCCTTTAGGAACTTCCCGAACTTTTAAGAGCTTGTATGCGCAATTTAGACAGTCTAATTTAGTGTTGAATTTGGCCAGGGACTAAACGTTCTCGTCCTTCATCCCACTCAAAAGCATCAACAGAGCAAAACAAACATAGTCTTAATCATCGTAAAACATACGCTGCTGCCGTTAAACGGACGGTTGGTGACCCCTTACAACGCAAAATGAGCTATGTGCCTGTCCATGATCTATTTGGAGTTGAAATCCTAGCTCACTCGTCCCTAAGTTGTACCTGCACCACCACAGGGGTTTTGTTCTATCCTTACCTAAATTGATTGAATACTATGAAGTTTAACTAGCGAAACCTAAGGAACAAAACGCAGAGCAGAGAAGTGCTGAGCGTTTGCCTGATCGACCTGGCCTAGAGCCGACGTACAGGGTAGCATGGGCGAGGGTCGATCCTCGTGTTGGGTAAGGGAATGGCGCTAGTGACGTACCCTCACAAGCGCCCCCCCATACGCTCCTAGGGGAAGAGGTTCGCAATGCCCAGCCAGGATTGTTGGCGGACTCCTCGTTTACTGGCAGAAGTGTATGAAAGGTCTCGTGTGACACTACGTGCGTGCCGTGCTCCGAAGCGTGCTTCCGGACCACGCTGCCTGTGGACGGATGGACAGACAGGCCGACGTTGTGGAGAAGCTTTTTAACGAGACGGCTCTGCAGAGACCCGCAACCTGAATCAAAGCTAAGAACGTAACATGAAGTAAAACGAAACAAATATATTGCCTTAAAACTAGGTGCAATTCCACTTATGCTTGTGTATATAGCATGATCATAGTTACCACTAATTCATCGCTGCTGGGAAACTACTATCGGCGTTGCTTCGTATATGTGAAATATAATTTGAATTTCGAATAGGAAAAAAGGTTATGGATATTTACGATCAGCGAAAATCACAGCTAAGATAGTGAAACGTGCAATAAGCAAAATACGATAAGTCCAATGGGCTAATCTCAACCAACAGATAAATCGTCAACAAAAGCCAATCATAACGAGCGGAGAAAGAAATAAATAACGAAGAAAATATAATAGTTACGTAAATCGTTAAGTAACGAACGCACTGTCGAACAACGAACAAACATCGGATGCGTCCACGGTTTCGTACCGTAAAGCGTTCGGTGTCATCAATACGCGATTCGATACCGGATACCCCAGTGGCATCGCGCTTGGATCGTGCTAGTACGTGAGTGAGGGTGTTGGCTTCTGTTGTATCTGTGTGCATTTTCTATGCTGTTCTTCAGTCTTCTTCCTCTGTATTAATTCTATTAGTGGGTTTGAATAAATGCATCGGTCCGCTTGTGTATCTTCGAAGGAGAGAATCCGTCTGTGCACTAAATCTCGCTTCGTAAAACAGAGGATTATCGTAATCGTGTGCAGGATCATCACGTCGAATTGGTTCGTCCACGCCGCAGCAACAATAGCGATTAGTGCAGTTTCTGTAGTACCTGTTCACATCTAAAATTGCAATAGGAACCTCATAGAGTGCGTGCTGGCTAGACCACTACTGTTACGGTAGGTAACCGTTACGGATAGGGCAGAAACTCACAGTAAGCAACATTTTCGCTCTGTGAGAATACTGCAGCCCCAAGTGAACCAAGACACATCTGCTGCTAATACAACTATTGTACTGCAGTATCTCATGGTTGGCTATATTACGGGCCGTAGTCTGTCCCATATAGCTGAGGTGCTGTTTGCGGCGTTTGCTAGTTAAAGAATGTCACGAATTGGAATTTTTTATTCATACTCCTCATCATTACTGTAGGGAATAGTTACGAACCGTTCATTTCCCTATCGTCTGCCAAACTGACTGCTCAGCAAGCGTCTAGATAGATGATCGCCCTTTCATGAAACGCTACGCTAAAGCCTATCATAGCAGCATGGTACAGGCGAGATGAGCACGTTCGACATGCTAGTCATTGTCGCCGCAGGCGGCTGCGCAGTCGTCAAGGACCTAGCAGTCGAAAGCTGGCAGTGGAACTGCAGCCGTAAGTGAGGCAAGGTGCAGCTGTATGCCTGCAGCTGTCCTTTTTACGCCTATCTCCTGTCTGCCCTCGATGACTCGTTGGGTAAACGACGGAATCCTGTTGCGTGCCATCCTTTTGGCGGCGACAAGTTGTCTACCACATGGTTTTGTGCAGGCGACACGAGAAGGCACAGGTGGAGGTGCCGGTGTGGGCGCTCACAACGGGGCAAAATTGCCCCTTCGCACCGAGGCATGGGAGCGTCAAGAGCCGAGAGGATCGTTGCTAAGGTCTGGTCACCGGAGCAGGACGCATCATGGCGTACAGACATCGTTGTATCATCGGCTGCCAATCGAAGTGCCAATTGAAGTGCTTCATTCAGTGCATTCCCACCCACCACTTGTTAACGAGTTGGATACGATTCACTTCGGCGATGAAAATAGTCAAAGTGAACTGTTTGATGAGATGATCGCTGTACCCCCGGAACAGACGCCAGCTGACCCGGAAAAGCCATTTGGTTAGTATTCATCAAACGATATTTCTAAGATCTACAAGCTGATAAATGTGCTCAAACGAGGTAACAGTTGTTCAAAGAAAAAGTGTTCCTTCGTTGATCCAGTTTAGACTGAGTATTTTAAACAATTATACCACATAGAATAAATATTTGGCTGACATCGCGGAAAATCTAGGTAAATAACACGTTTGTGCTTCTTCGATACGAAATTTAAGTTGTAGTTGAAGTTCTAAAGTTGTAAGTAAAGCACATTGCAATCAATTGACATTCTTAGAATTTGTAGAGTCCATTGTGCGTGAGTGAGTAACGCAAACGCGCTTCCAATCTCCAGTGTCTATAGTTACGTTTATGTTTTTGACAAGGGAGAAATAAGACCAATATTTCGCACAGTTTGAGTTTGGTACAAGCTGATTTATGGAATAGATATAATTTGCGGGATAGAGAATTATAGTAGTTAGCATATTAGACGTTTTTGACACTTTTTTTGAGGCACTCGAAATTGATAGAAAATATTAAAAATAGTATTATTTAATTTTATTTAGTTGCCAGAACAGCAAAACCTTCTAATTGTGTTGCAGACGTATCACTGAATATAAATCTAGTGTGTACTTGATTTATGCCGGAAACTCACAGTTTTTTTTTGGTAGAATATATTGTAACAGCTACGACGTATCTTAGATTAAAACGTAATGGCGAAAAAATTTTTACCGCGCTCGCTAAGCTACCTACGCACCATTATTTAGGTTACAATGTTCTGACACCGACGACGACGACCATGAATTAGTAAACGGCCCATTGCACGGATTTCTATATTTTCGCAAATCTATCTTTTCTAGTTGTCGGTTGTCATGGGCTAAAAGTTTGGAACACTAGGAAGTTATAATTGCTTATGTAAATCCCCTAATTACTCGTAACGAATTCTCTATGTAGAAACTTAGTAGTCGTTATAAATAAAATCTATGCATGATAATGTCGTTCATACGTATAGGCACACGACTCTAGAGGCCGCTTGTCCAATACACAATGTCGTTCTGCTATGATTTTATACCTATTTATATATATATATATATATTCTATTCATTATATATACATTTTATATTTGTATATTTTATTTGATTTATAAATTTATGCCGAAATAAAATTATATTAGAATTCAAATTAGTACGAAAAGAGAAATCTTATTAAATTCATGCTACATTCTATACAGGTCTAGTTGACGTAGTGCATCATCTTTTATTTCTATAATCACTCAACTGACGAGGTCTTCCCTGACCATCGATCCAATGTGGTGTCTACTATTCTGGTCTATCAATCTCCACGGTGGCTTCAGACCCAAGGATTAACAGAGCGACAACATGAAATCGGTGCCCACGTTTGTGGCACAATGTGTCTAAATAATAAAATTGCTTGGAAACTTATATAAACATGCTTTCCAATTGATCAATCAATATCGCTGATTAGTAGATCAACGTCGACTAGCTCCCCTGGAATAGTTTCAATCAGTTCAAGCTATATGAAGAATACGAACGACAGGATAAATGTACGCCGGGTGCAACTGGACTTTTGAGAATCTATCCATTCAAGCTGGCACAGGAGTGCAATATAGCAATCCTATTTCCTTTTTATATATAAATATTACAAGATGTCTATGAGTAGTCCTAATAACTAGTGCTCGCAGAGAAACACCCATATCCTAGTCTGAACTACAATATTTGCACACGAGCAACGTTACAAAATCGCTTACCTTTCATCTAGGAGACAACCTAGCAACATTTACACTAACCGTATACATTGAATCAAACGATCGTTCCTCTATATTGGCATATTATGCCAGCTGTATTTTGCTCCTTATGCTGGTAGACATCTAGTGATTATACTTAAAACTCAGCTTGAAGCCCCGTGATATTTGCTTAATCATTAAAAAATAATGAACCCACTATGGTTTTTATTTTGTCCTCATAATACGTATCTGTATCAAGTAAATCCCTTTGCCAACTTTCGCGAAATTCTCACATAAGAAAATCATTTATATGCTGTATCTTAATATAAGGAATAAGAACTTCAAGACTATTAATGTTTACTCTAGGAATAGGGTTCATACTTAACACTGAAGGGTAAAATCGAGCTCAGTCGTTAGTTCATTTGTCGTACAATTAAACCTCAGTGGACCAGCTTCTTATGTTAGGCTTTAAGCAGCTTTTGTCTATGTAGTCCACATCGATAAAGCGCAATGTATCCCGCCGAGAATAGGGGCTTGACCCTCAAGCACATTGCAAAAAGGTTCTATTTGCTCAACGTTGAGTAAACAAGCGTCCGCTACCATGATACAATCTAGATATGAAATGATCGACTTTAAGCGGAACGAAGCGCGAAACTCATGAACCGTTTCATCGGCATCCATTTGCCGGTAATGGACGGTGCAGCTGTATCATTACTGCCATTTACGCTCGTTGCGTCAACGGCATAATCAATGCGGTGTCCATATACATTTTGTCCTGTCACACCATCAGCCACAGCAGCAGCAGCAGCAGGAGCAGCAGCACTATCACCGTCGCTCCTTCGCTACCCCTTAATTCACGCCTCGTGCATGCCTCCAGTAAACTCTAGATACAAATCCTTTTTATGTATAGCGTGCGTTTATAATAAACTACTTATATAACGACCATAGGCAGAAAGATGCATGTGAGCACGATAACACGAACGGTTTCATACGACCCTCACTCGAATCCAACGGTAACTTTGTGTTCCTCCGGAGAGACAAGGATAGCTATACGCGTCCACACAAGAGTCTCCACCTATTGGATCCGTCCGGCAAAAGAACAATAACAACTACCCAGAAGTAGTTCGATACCGTCACTCAATCTTGAAAGCCATGCGCTGCGCTTCACACTTGTGCTCCTAATGTCCTCTGTCTTTTTCTCCGAAGAACTGATGCTGGGTAACGATGGAATTGAAAATCCAGTAGACGAAAAACGATGGCAAATAGGGACGCATAACGGGCATGGTGAAAGATGCCATGACGGAATCCCCGTACTATTGCAGCTAGTTTTCTTACTAGACTTCGGTACACATGAGCTGGCCGAAGTTCAGCTCAGAGCATGGACAGCACACATAGTTAATTCTGTGGTGGAAGGGGCCGCTAGCCGTTTGAAGCAGCAGTGCCTAACAAAGATCGTAAAAGCGTATGTAGAATTTGAAGCACTTATTTCGAACTGAATGACACAGAAAATGTACTTTTACCTTTTCGAACAGCCAAATAGACATATTCAATTGTTTTACAATGCAAACGAGCCAACAGCATCACCCAGCTTCCATTCAATCCTACAAACACTGATAGACAAATATACATTGCATTTAGCCCAGTTCAAGCTAATTTTAATTCAGACCAACAATGTAATGGGCAGACACAGGTTTCTGTAAGACTGCTCAGCTGTAGTTTTGCTAAGCCTTAGTACAACTGACTCAAGCGCGTATATGGGGCCGAGACGAAACATCAAGTCGGACATCGTCTAATACTTCCGCTTATTGAGGCGTACATCTTTTTCAAACAACTCTCTCATTGAGACGCTTGCTCTCTGACAAACAAGCGACAGATGATCGAATTATATTATTAGATTATATCATGCCTCTTTCTTCTTTTTTCTTTGAGGGTCTTTTTTCGCAAGCACTTCTTCCATGCAGGAACTCATAATGTCCCAGTTTCCTTTGAATTCTATTGGGCACTTTTGGCGCCCATTCATCAAACGACGGTTTTATCTCTTTTCCCAGCTCTGCTCTAAGTCTCCTTCTCTTCGTGTCATATGCTTCGCAGCTCCGGGAGGCGTGAAAAATCGTATTCGCCTCCCCTAAGTCGTAGAAAGCACATTATGGTTTTGTGTTTTGCCTGTCCTCAATTATTACTCGACGAAGTGTTCAGACGTCCTAATAGAATTTAGGCTGGGTGAAAAAGTAGGTATTCGTCTTCTCTATCGATCTATACCCTTAATTAAACTTTTAGTGATTCCGTCATTGCTGATCTTACTGTCGGACCAAGCGATCTGCGGCCCTTTCGGCAAGATGCCACTTGGGTAAAATATTTTCATCCTTATCTTGTTTCCATTTATGCTACTTCGCCACTGATGACAGTCACTGCTTTATAGGAAGCTATTCCAGAAGCTCCACTTACTCCAATGAATATATGTCATTGTGGCCGCCGTAACGCGCACGCGTTCTTCCTGGAGCATAACTCATGTATATTTAATAGAAGTCTGCTTAGATAATTATTAGTTAGCATAGCTGCGTTAATTCCTCGGTCTACGCGTGCTGTTCTATTGATAACCTTTTTAGCAATTTTAAGGTTTTCTGCGGAAGTATAGCGTGATCGTGTACATTTTCTCTTGATCCCTGGCGGTATTTGCGTCCTGTGACCATTAGCGATTTCGTCCTGTCCTGCAGCTTGTAGTCTCTGATCTAGAGACTCACGACGTCACATATATCGTTGACGTATGTGGAGACGATACTCTGTAGCCATTAGGCTGTTGCTTACTTCTTAGACGATTCTTTCCCTGCGGGTCTCGCTAGGCAGTGGCAAAAAAGGCCCTAGGGTACTAACCGAAGATATAAAAGGATATTTGTTTTCGATGGCCAATAAAACAACACGCTGTGTGTTGCGCCAGTATATTACTACACATGTAGAAAATAATAGCGGGTATGCGGTAAGCACCTAAAGAGGACAGAATAAGCGACAAAGATATGAACTGACGGTAAGCACATGCGGGGCAGTTCTAAGTCAAGGAAAGAACGGGGAGTTTTGTAGCAGTTTTGGTTTCTTACAACAGTTTTGTTATAAAAGTAGCAGAGTAAAGAGCAAGTACGGTTTAACCTTGTACGAATAGGGAAATTTATATACAATGCATATTTGTAAATATGTATGTATATAACTGCTTGCTTTGAGGGTATGGGACATTTGGAAATGGGTTAACGTTTTCTATGTATGGTCTATACAGGCCTAGTCTGAAATGATG